ATATTATTTCTTTTCAAAATCGTAATGTTTCTATTCACACACGTTCGCGGCAAAGATTTAAAAAAAACTCCAGGGGATTTTCACACCACGCTTCCTCCTCCTCCTCCTCCTACCCCCCCCCTCTCTCTCATCCAGCATCTTGAAACGAAGACATTCAGAGCTGTTGCAACTTCTTTCTTCATGATTGCTCTTGGCTTTATGAAGTGCCATTATGAATGCGACCAATTCTGTTCTTTTATGTTACTTTTTGTAGCCCGTACATGCATTGGACATATATATATATATATATATATATATATATATATATATATATATATATATATATATATATATATATATATATATATATATGTATGTGTGTATGTATGTATGTATCTATGTATGTTTATATATGTATATGTGTATGTATATATGTATATAAACATGTGTATATATGTGCATATTTATATGTATATTTATATGTATATTTACATGTATATATATATGTATATATATATGTATATATGTATATATGTATATATGTATATATATATATATATATATATATATATATATATATATATATATATATATATATATATATATATATATATATATATATATATATATATTTAAGTGATGGAAAAAACATGTACACAGAATCGCAAGTTCAGTTTTAATAATTTCCTAAAAAGTAAAACAAAAGCATCTTAGAAATAATACTCACAAACTCTTTTATATTCTAAGTTACACCCAATGACTGTCTAATTATTATTATTATTATTTTCTCTCTCGAATCTGTTGAAGCTCCATTGAATGAAATATATGTAAAAGTTTAATACTAAACCAAATGAAAAGAAAAAAAAATACGAAAAAAAAATATATTCTCGTTTTCCCTTCACCCACCGCTCCTGTCCCCCCTCCCTCTACCCCCCTCCCCCCCTCACCCCATTATACAGGAGAATTTTGGGGAAATTCTTTGTAAGCAAAGTTGTTTCATGTGCCAAGCTAGTCATGAGAATAAAGGTGAAAACTGTGAGTGGATTTTTCTTTCTTATTTTGATCTTCGTGTCCTTCGTGTCTGGATTTTTTTGGGGGAGGGGGGTATTCTTAGCATTATTGTTGTGATAATTATTGTTGTTGTGATTATTATTGGTATTATTATTATTATTATTATTATTATTATTATTATTATTATTATTATTAT